CTGATGACCCTTTACATTTTGTATGCAAAACCATGCGTAGTACTTTAGATACCGATACTCTTGTAGTCCACTCTGCCCCAAGAGAATAAGATAAGGGCTGCCTGTTTTCAATTCGATCATGTGGCTGTTGGACACCCTTTCAAACGTTGGACACAGCTCTTATCTCTGAAGGTTTGCCTTGACCATATCTCAGTATGGTCACCGGAAAATGGTCTCCTAATGAGCAATCATAAATCCGTTCTGAATTTTCGAACACCCTCGCAACGGGGTATATTCTTTCAGGTACCTTCACTTTACCTTGTCATTAAATCTTTAATTTCCTCTGCATATTGAACCTCTTTCAACTAACTCTCGTAAATTTCTTTATCACATTCGTTGTTTACGCTCCTACCCACACCTCAACCTTTAATCTGGCGATTCACATATGCCTGCAGCCTTCTTCTTATTCTTTACTGCTCTCCATTCATTTTTACTGCTTTACTCAAATAAGATTTGGGGGTTTAAAAACGTGTCGTCCGAGTACTTTCTTCTGCTGCCAGTGTTCCTTATCACATTTTAGTCGATATTATCTTACAACGACATTTCTAAACGGTCAAGCGATTTACTATTCGACTTCTGGGTGACGTTGCCCATCCCCCATTCTGATTTAATCTCTGCGAAGTCTTTCCCCCATGCGCCGTGCCTTTCGACATCGGCATACCAACATTCACTATTGCCATTCCTGGCGCGCTATCTTACATGTGCAGCGACAGAAATACAGAAGCTAAGAGTCGAACTGTTCCCATAATAGTCGTTCCTTTTTGTGTAAACCGTTTTGACTCATTAGTAATTTACTAACCTAAATTCTATCCACGGCGAACGGGATTCATTTTTGTAGAAGATTTTCAACTTATAATAGCTAAATGAAGCAAATTCCTCTGTCTCCCGCAGCTACGCGCTGAGCCTCCCCTATGCTCTTTCTCATCAGTACTGGTTGCGTAACTAGATCCGTCTTCCTTGGTCTCTGCTTTTGAATCATTGTGTTGTCGATCTGTGGAAACTCTTAAGTCAGCTTCCCACCGCGACGCAACGGTGCGAAAATACATTGGAATTCACAGAATTCCGATGGGCAGATCCGGCCAACGACATCAGTCCTTTTCTACCACGACATTGGGGCTTTCGACCACATAAACTGGCTTCCGATGAATACCTCCAGCTTATGTGCGACCCCAAGAACGTGAACCGTGTGAAGGCGACAGACAGATTTCGAATCGTACCTGCGTACATACACGTTCGTAAAAATATTGGACGGATGCCAATCTATCTGTTGTATGGCAATATTGTACTGACAACTAAGCTCTCTGAGCAACTCTGTTTTTCGGTTCCCTACAAACAAACTGTCAGTCATTATATGACAGTGATTATGATTAGGTCCTAAAACGGGTCATTCGGTAGATTCGCTGGGACAACACGGGGGCTCGATATGGGTTAAGCAGACGTAACCGGGAACGCAAAACCCTTGTAAATGTTAGCACTAGGGGAGCGGTGACAGGCCGACTTGCTTGTCCACGAGGCGCCAATTTTGATTCGCAGCCACTCACTTTTTTGTTCCATAAAAATCGCATTCAGTATACGTTGTGAACCAGGGGGTGTGGTGGTACGCCTGGGAGCGGGCTGTTGCCACGCCGGCCACCTGCTTTCCATTCCGCCTTCGGTATTCTTTACTCTCTTCTGATATCGGGCTTATCTGGGGGAGGAGGAGAGATTGTGGCAGACGCAGCGCAAGGTGCCATCCCTGCATCTACTCAACCGTGGTAGACATCGTTAGGTACGACACTCGAATTTTTGTTGCGTTTTGGTTGCTATAGAAGCCAAACATTTATACCACATTTGTCGCTTTGATGATCCGTTCAACCAAATCATCACCGCCATCTGAAACAGGGGCGAAATGAAGGGTCAGTGAGAATTGTCTTCTTTTTCAAATCTGAGCCAACCTTGATACGAAACTCGTTTCGACTGCTTCCCGAAACGCATCTTTTCCTGTTCCTCAGCAAGTCATGGAGTAAAAAACCTGTTTGGGCGTGGAAATGCAAGAAAATTTGACTTTTTGATAGCATAGGACGCTCTCGGGGTAGATTTATTTTACAAATAATCATTCTGCCGTCTTCTTCCGCGTCCGACACTGTTTACCAGACATTTGTAGATGGCCCCCGTGGCATATGTAATTTACCGCCCAGGTCAGGAGATTTTCTCTAATCGACGAATTGCGTATTTTTCAACCCCTAAAGGTTCAGTCATCAATTTTAATATGATGTCATCGGTACCACTGCCTTCCATCCAATGCCGCAACCGCGTAAGCGGTGACCGGTGATTCGGGATGGCGCGCAGCATCTGTGTCTCAGTAGGTTAATTCTTACTTGAGATGGTGACATTTGTTTGTCCACGCTCGCCACTCTATCCACGCCGACCTTGCTGTGGCGCACACGCCGGTCATCGTCGTTCGCGACGGTCGCACTGTCGGAAGTCCACCGTTTTTGCACGCTGGACATTCAAATTCCCCTAAGTCACGTTGTATAACTGATTTGAGGGCACATAACATAGTGGAGCGGACAGCAAGTAGGCGACTCACCTTCTGAAGCACAATAAAACATATAGGGGAGACGCAGGCAAAGGAAGGTGGCTGCCCTTCGAACATATAGAATAAATCGCGGATCAACCATCGTGTCAGTGATTTCTCGTAATTGTTAAAGTGTTCGAAGCATCTTAATATCGCCTCTCCTAACAGTTAAAACACTGATAGAATGGGCGGGACGTCGACGTCTTTGGTCTGCTTATATGGATCGCATAAACAGTCATGTTATTTATAAAACAACCGCATTTGTTAATGAATCATATATTTCGTTTCGCGGTGAGCGTACAAAAGAATCTAAAAAGTTGCTAAATTTTGAGAAAGCATGTGAGTTAGTGCCACTTTCGAACGTAGGAAAAAGCAATTCACTGCGCCCGACGTGCTGAAATATTATTTACTTTCACCAGTTAACTTCAAAGCTTAATATTTGTTCTTAAAGATTCGCCGACTAGTTACGTAACTGGAAACGGAATCAATGGATGTAATATTCAGAGGCTAGGGAGCATTAACGGTACAGTAGGTGGGCTAACTCATGGAATGTCAACCGAAATTCCGAAATGCATTTTCGTTTCGAAAAGATTAATCCAGGAGGGTTGCAAATTAATCAGGATGCGGCTTTCTAAAGAACGTCTTTCCGGCTGCATGCAAAATGCATACTCTATAAAAAATGACTACTTAAATAGTGTGCGTTTTTTATTGCTGTTCGGTGCTCTTGCGAATTCAATTATATTTCATGAAAACATGCATAAAAATATTCATTGTTTTACTCTTTTGGTAGAAACTCAAGGCTTCTTCCGACTATGTACTCCAAAGAGATATATAAATCGGTTTCAAAAACTTTCCACTCGTGAGATTGTTTAATACCGTGAAATGGCCGTTCATGAAACGTCATGCTTCAGTATTTACCAATGTGGCTTGTGAAGTTAACAATATGGCTCAAATCCGTTGCCTAATTTTATGAAACACGTGTAGACTCCCCTTAATATAATACAGAAACGTATGGCTTTTAGTACGTGGAAAATATACGGTTTGTAGTTTGGAAGCTTTGAATGCTAGTGTAAAGGCAGGTCGGGGTCAAAATTATTCGAGAATTTGAAAAGTTTTTAAAAACCAAATTATATCCTTCCTTCGAGTATACAATTGGAATAAGACGTAAATTCCTACCGAATGAATAAAATAATTAATATTTTATGCATGTTTTCCATGAAATATAATCGACTTTTTAAGGGCTTGAAAAATCGTTGAAAAAACGCACACTACTTAGGTGGCCATTTTTAAGCAGTTTAAATTTTGAATGCGGCCGAAAAGAGGTTTTTCAAAAGCCGGCATCCTGAGGTAACTGAAATATTATAGAATTATGCTGTATGAGGATTAGTTTTACAACCCTACTTGATTAATCTTTTCGAAACGAAAACGCATTTCGGAAATTCGGTTGGCATTTCGTGAGTTAGCCCACCTACTGTAGATTGAAGACATGCAATTGAACTCATAGAAAAACCTATGCTCTGCAACCGGCAGAGAGTTCTTCATACTAATCCACAGCACTCCACATCGAAAGTCATAACGACGTGACCGCAAAGAATGCCAGAATGCCTACAATGCGTCCTCATCGCTCACCTATAATGTGGTGCGGATGACCTCCCGAAAACCAAAATCCGAGTCCAGTGTGCATCGACAAGCGAGATGGTCTCTGCTGCAAATAGCAAGTTATACCACTGGTTACTACGTCCGAATACTTATCACTTGCATTATCGAAACCATCAGAGAAATATGTAAGTATTTAAAACTGGAAAATTCTAATTTCCGCTAGGTGAGCCGTCTGTAGGGAATGAGATTGACGGGTTGGAAGTAGCCCCTTTCGGTCACGTAGAATGACCCCGAGATGACCTTTGTTTTCACTACTTCTTGGAGTTCCGTTTTTCCTTTTTTCGTCAGCGGATCCTAAAGCTTTCCGATGACGCTCAGACAAAATGACTTAGAGCATTCAACTGCGTCATCATTTTCACATCCTGCAGTTTGTGTCTTCCAGTCGACGGCCCCATAATTCTAGGGCACATGTTCGTCTAAAACAACACAAGTGTTTTTCGCCAACTAGTTGGAGTCCTACGTATAGAGCTATGGAGTCACGAAAAAACCCAAACTCGACTGGGCATTATGCACATTCGTAGTAATGCGTGCATATACATAGCAAAGACAAAACCCTACAGTTCACACGGCAACGTGTTGACAGATCCCGATATCATGCCGTAGTTGGGAGTTGGGCACGGAGAGTAAGCTGATACCCAACTCACAAGAGAAATCAGTCAATTAATATATTGATCTGGTGCACACAAGCTTCCGCGGCCACCTCTATGTCGGCGGTACTTTCTGTTGACTGTCGTTTGTTCTGTTGATGCTGTCATCCTTGAGGACAGACTCCTGCAAGTACTCAAAGGTACGAAGAAATAAGCAACCATTTCCGGTCCCTAATTGACCTTCACCGTCAATTCATAAACTATAGTCTGTGCAGCTTGAACAGGTTGTCCTCGTAGGTTGAAGAAAATCTATATGACTACAGTGAACACGATAGGCAGCGTTTAGTTAAATCTACTAGCCTGAGGCTGCTAACAGTCATTTTCCCCCTACCTAACACTTTAGACGCCAGCAACTCTTCTTGTAATTTAGGTCATCTTTTGATCTGATGGGCAGGGCGTGTCACTCATGTGGTCTGTTCAATATCCCAGGTCAGTTTTGTGTGCTGTGGAGCAGGGCAGTTTTGTCGGTCGGACAAGGAAAATTCCTTAGCACTCCTCTGCCCTTCCCAGCGAGATGCGTGCTAGCCCAGGTAGGCGCTCATAACGTGCAGTAGAAATTCATCACACCCCTTGTATTGTGCTCCAACGGAGTGTTCGCCAATCTACGAGAGCACCTTTGCCACTACACGTTCAGCCGCGCTGGCCTCAGTGTTTATGGCAGGGCCAACCAAGTTTTCACCACTTTTAGCAGCTTCATGTTAATTTTATTCCAGCTTTTCATGGCGATACCACATGAATAAAGTAGATCTTGTTTGAGAAATACGCTCGGCGAAAATCCGCGAGTTTCTGCCTTATTTACGGTTCTGTTTTATACACGTGCATTAAAAACCACAGTATTACGGGGATATAGGTAAATTAATGCGACCACCAAGTATGAAATCGTTTTCAGTCGAATGGCCCCTCTGTAGGCTGATGAGATGTTTAAGCTCGAAAATGCCAAAAGTCGGTCGTGATAAAAGTGTGGTTTCAGTCGACGCAAATGGGATCTTGCTCAATTCATGTGTTTGGCCAAATCAATCTCATAAAATACAGTTCGCAGCGCGCGTTGCAAAATAAAGCCTTTCCCTTGCTTCTAGGTGCAGAGTACTCCAGATACACAAAATGTAAAAATAACATGGAGGGGTTCATTTCGATCTGCTATTTGTTGTCCATTGGTTGGCAACATCCCAAGGTACAACTCCAAGAGCCCCGTGACATCGCCCACTGAGAAGACAATTTCCCGAGTATTCGGTGGCAATGTGAACCGGACGGAAACATGTGGGTACTTGAGTCCTTATTCAGTGATGCAAACTTAGCCCCACATTCGGTAGTATGCGATGGGCTACGTATAATGTCACATCAGTTTATATAACAGTGCATTAGGCCTACCTATACTGCATAACACCCACCCAAGGATTCTGAGTAGTTCGATATCTTTGGAGGTTCTTCCTCTATTTTCATAACGCGGCCGTTCCGTCGCAGTTACGTTACTTTTGCATGCCTCAAGCGCGGATAACGGTGGGTCGTTTAATGATATGAACCTCTCCTTTCTTTCCTTTCATTTCTCATAGAGTATCTCCTGGAGACAGTTGAGGTTTAAATGGTAGAACATTCTGGCTTGGCCTTCATAAGTTGTCCACGTACCCACCGCGGCCATGAAGTCTGTTGAAGTCGGTTCAACATTTACGCGAATGTGTCCGCGTGAGTAGGACAAGCCCCGTTAGCATTATTCCCGTGTTCGCTGTTTTTATAATTAAACGTTCTTGTACTTGCAACCACCCAAGGTGCTCTGTAAGGCACATGCTTGAATGCGAATACAGAAACTCGTGAGTAGGGGGATGATGATGATGATGGTGGTGGTGGTGGTGGTGGTGGTGGTGGCGGCGGTGGTGGTGGTGGTGGTGGTGGTGGTGGTGGTGGTGATGATGATGATGATGATGATGATGATGATGATGATGATGATGATGATGATGATGATGATGATGATGATGATGATGATGATGATGATGATGATGATGATGATGATGATGATGATGATGATGATGATAAACGCTGTTACAAGAGCATGAAGTCACAACCAACCTTGGTTGGTTGCTCGGGAAAGTTAATCGACATCCACGTTTGGCTCCAAGCGAGGACTCAGTAAATCGTCCTCGTTCTCATACAGAGAATTCACCGGAAATACAAAATAAAAAGTACCGGCAGCTCCAACAATGATTGGTTGTTCAGGGCCTGTCCACAACGAATGCAGTCAGACCTGAAGACCGTTTCTCGGCTGATCATGATTCTTTTCATGGCCTACTGAACCACTTAGTCCAGTCAGATTTGGAAATTAGAATCCTGAAAGCGTTACGGAACGGAAAAATGAGTGAGGACAAGACAGCAGCACTACCAGCCCGTCTTCTCAAAATTATGCTGAAGAAAAAAGTGCAAATCAAGTTGATCCTGTCCAAAAAGGCAACCTCAGAAACTCACATATGCCGATTTTTTCAATCGGATTACCCTTTAGCGAAACGGCTGAAACGTCAGGAACTCGTCTAGGAATTAAAAACCGAGACTAAAGGCTGACAAACGCAAAGTACGTCAGAAAAATATACCGTTTCAATTGAACCAATCGGTAATACTAAGATCGTCAGCAACAACTCAGCTAACGCAGACACTACCGTGGAACCAGCCGCTTGAGGCGACTACATAAGTAAGCCTTTAACATCCACCGTTCTGACCGAGGAAATGGACGTTAGTGGAACCTATTAGACGACGAAACAAGCCAGCGGAAAAAGTGTCCGCGGCAACGTAATAATGCCCACAGCAGTGGCAAATGCAGTCGGACATTCGGCTGACTCAAAACTGAGGTGCCTGCATGCAAATGCTCAAAGACTCATATCGACATTTGATGAGCTAAAACTTTGCCTTACCGAACTGTCTGCAGATATTATAGCAGCCAGCAGAACCCGGCTTTCCGGGTATAGTAGCTTTAATTGGATACCAAATACAACGAAGGATAAGGAACAATGTCAGGATGGTGGCATAATTGGGCATGTGAAAATAGACCTGTCAGTGCGCGAAAATACCACCAGGTTTGCGCGCAGCAAAGAAGCTCTTTGGTTAACCACAAAAGCTGCCAGTGTCCTGTGTTTCGACTTCCTCACTGTCTACCGACCACCTAGAGTAGACCAAATCGTCAGCACTCATCGTTTGGAACAGTTGGAGAAATTTTCCACTGGATCTAATATCATGAGCAAGGACAACTCAACGCACCAGGAATTAACTAGAATATCGCTCAGGCGTCAGCTCCAAAATGGATATTCGTCTGTTTCACAAAACAGTAAAGGTGCTCCTCAAAAAACATGTATTGTTTCCAGCGAGAACACGTGAAGGACAAAGGACAAACTGCCTGGATTTGGTTTTGTACGAAAACTCAAGTTAGCATAGACGAGGTCATCCCCATGCCGTCCCTCGGCCGAAGTGACCATGTAATGCGTCAGTTTCAGTGTACTTCAGAGAAAGTAGGTGTGTACCTCTGAAGTCTTTGTTGGTAACATGCTCGAGTGGGCTTATTCGTTATTGAAGAAGAAGAAGAAGAAACAGAAGAAGAAGAACAAAAAGACAAAGAAGAAGAAGAAGAGGGCTAGAGCACCGGAACATTTCGTTTGATGTTCTGAGCTTTTGGACTCGTGCAGGAATCCATCGTCAGAGCTAGTAGCGGCAACAGAACAAGCGACAGTTACAGGGCATTTAGGCCAATCATCGACCGACGGAGAAAGTCTGCAGGTGACTGCGTATGACTCTACACGCCGGCGCCAGATCGATAAATCGATTGACTGAGTTCTCACCTGAGGCCCAGGCTTCAATCAATGCCCGGCCTGTTTTCCTTCCGGTGTGGACGACTATTTTGGTGGCTATGAAATTAAACTCGTGACCCATTTCGTAGGTATGGGCGGTCACTTGTGATAATGCGTCGCCTCGTCGCACAGTCAACTTACGCCCGTGTACGCGCAATCCAAGCGTGCGTCCGGTCTGGCCTGTGTAATTACAAGGGCAATAAACAAAATGTTCCGGCGCTCGAAACCTCTTCTTCTTTTTCACTTATGCATACACCTGGCACTTGAAATTTCGCCTTTATTCGTTATTCTCCGTTTGCGTACTCTTGGGCAAAAAAGACACAACATTTGGCGAGACGACTTTAGTCAGATAAGGACAGAGATATTCGGTCTAGATTTGAACTCAGTGTTTACGGGTAATGCCAGTGATGAGTGGACTTTGTTCAAGAATGTCTTTCTGCAGCTCATCGGCAACCACTTTTGCGGTCTTTAAAAGATCAATAATTCCATGTGCTTTTGAAACTACAAATTCCCTTTCTTCAAATATAAAGTTTAAAGATGACGCGATCTTCTATCTTTGTAGATATTAGCTTATAAGAAGTAAGTTTAAAACCAACGTTTTGGCGTGACTGCGATGTCTATCAACTGTACTGTGCGATAATCATCAGTACAAACCCACTTAAGTAATCCTTCCTACTTGAGAACACATTTCAAAGTTTCGACTGACATTTCATGTGGTCGGTCACTAGCTGCAGGTTCGTCAGAAATGACTATGAAAAACCAGTGAATGTTTCTGTTATTCGTCTACCCGCAATATGTTGAAGTTCATGGAGCATATATATGTGGAGAGGTTGGCGAAGTAAACAATGTTTCAAAACACCGCCCTAATTTTCTAAAGCCGGAGATCCCCCACTATTAATGCGAAGTGGTAGTTCACTACGTGTCGTTTGACTGTGAGCAGTTTTGAGGAGTTGGCACACATTCTTCGTTCGGGAGCTCAAAACTATCATCAGAATGGCGACGAGTCTGTGGTTCACTGGTAGAATGCTGTACTAGGAAAATAAAAGTTCCAGGTTTGAACTCCAGGCACCCAACTTTATGTTGAGTGCGTCTGGCTGAGGATGGCTGTGAGTCCCGGAATCGGCAAACCCTTGGCGTGTCGAGGCGGCCTTACAACGGTTGGTGTCGCTGGTCTTCCGACGCCACAGATCGAAAATCTGGGCTCGGTATGTAGATGATAACTTCTTCGTCATCGAATGGGATCAGGAGCTGGAATTCAAAGACAACCTCAACACCATTTCCCGGGCATCTTATTTAAGATGGGGAAGGGGTAAACAACCAGCTGGACATTCTTGATGTCCTCATATGTCGCAAAGATTGTGATAGTCTAAAAACCAAAGTATCCAGGAAAACCACATGTACGACGCACGTACTGGGCTACAAAAACGACCACCCAATCAGTCCCAAACGAGTTGCGTACGGGCACTATACCAGCGTTTGGAGACGCACTGCAGTAAACCTGAAGAACAATTTGCTGTATTTCAACACCCTCGACGGGGACTCAAAGCCAATGGTTAGCCGCGCAACTTCGTAAACCAGTGCCTGCGCAAACAAGACAAGAGGCGAAACCTAACCTGTTCCAAATTTTGGCGAGCTCGCCCGTACATGAATAATGCCTCAGCAGCGGCCGTCATCCGCCTTCTCACACCATCTGGAATTGGAGTAGAACACGAACCGGAGGCAAACATAAGAGAAGGCAAACCATCCACCAGTTAATGCGAGGTTTGCACCTTCAGAAGGGTACTACATCGTTAGAACTCTCTTCAGAAGATGGATACTTCTTTGGAAATGTGTTTGAACTTGACCCATCTACCGACGGTCGCAGACAGCATGACCCAGGAAAACCCGCTGCCCCTCTTTGACAGTCTCACCGCCTCGTTGAAACCTACCTTTAGGATAAGTAGACCTACTACGTCCATCCCATGATTGCAATTGCCTTCATTTTTTACTAATTCAAAAACAAATCCATGAATGCTCAATCGGCATGGCCTTATTTCTAACGCTTTCTCAAGATATCATCTTCATGTCAAAAAATACACAAACTCATGTTATTTCATATTAGTATAAGATAAAGCAAACTAGAAGAAACAGCAAAATTCTATAAATAAGTAGGACACAGTCATCAGATATTCTAGGGAACAAGAGGTACTCGAGTAGGGCATAAAAGTTATTAAATTAAAATACTTGGCATACAAATATAATGATACAATTAGCGGAGGTTGAAGCTGTGGTGAACCTGAAACAAAATCTACTAGGTTCCTGCAGTAGAAACTCGGCATTCCATCACGAAAACAGAGCTGTCGTTGTGTTAATTATTGATTGGATTTCATAGTGGATTCCAATCATCTAAAAGCTTTCTTTTTGAAGTCCTCCCACCCGAACATAAATTCTGAGACACCTCATTCTAACCACACTCCACACTACATTTCCAGTCATATTTCTTTGCACAACATGTGTATTAACTCTAAAAGCAATCTAGACTGATATTTAAAAAAATAGGTAATTGTTCAAGCGTAAAAATCTCATAAAATGTATTAGGCACAAAAACGAGTGCGAAAAACTGATGTTAGCGAAAAATTTCGAATAAATCAAAAAGTGTCCCATCGAACCGTGGGCGCTTTCATAAAAAAACAGCAAATTAAGAATGGTGGCAAATATATGAGACACTTTATTTTTGGAAAAAATGCAAACGGCAGAAAGCGTTGGGGGTAATAAGGGGACTTAAAATAGCATGCAGCATTGCGGATTAATGTCTATGCTGCAACTGAAAAGAAGGAATCGGACTAACATTCGGCAAGCATACTGTGAGTGACCTATCTCATGAAATGTTGGCTGAAATTCTGAAATGTGTTTTCGATTAGGAAGGATTACTTGGTCGCGGTTGTAATACTGCTTATCTTGTGGCATACTTTTATAACATTTCGTACTTGGAAGGATGTCGGCTTTTAAATGCACTTCTTTTCAATCTCCTGTATAAAGCGTGCTCGGTAAAAAAAATGACTACTTAAGAAACATGCATTTTTTTCATGGATTTTCGATGGTCTTGCAGATTCAAACATATTTTATAGAAATCATAAAAAATATGCTTTCTTTTAGTCAACAAATAGAAAATCAGGTCTTCTTCATATTTTATACTTAAGGAAGGAGTAAAATTAGGTTTCAAAAAAGTTTTCTAATTTCCGAATAATTTGGAGCCTGATCATTCGTTGCATTAGCGCTTAGTGATTTCACTCTACAAGGTGTGTGCGTTCCGCGTAAAGAAATT